CCTTTGAGAGTTGAATAGATAAAATTCAATGAAAATGAAAAATAATGAAGAGACAAGTCTTGTGCTAAGAATGACCTTCTCTGTCTTAACCCTTCTTTCCTTCTCCCAGTGAATTTCACACCTGTGCAGCTGACCACCACTGCCTTTTCACTATGGGAGGCAGTTTCTTGATCAGCTGCACCTAGCCCACAAGTTCCCAAACTGGAAGAAAAGCCACAGCAGCAACGTGCAGCTAGGTCACTGTTCCCTTTGAAGGTGTGTAGACAAGGAGCAACTTCACAGTCAGGGCTCTGCTTCTGCAAATGACTCATTTAACCCATCAGTCAGCCGACACTGCATTATCCAAAGGAGGTGTTGTAGGATTGCACTAGTAAAAGATGTCTGGGAAAAGCGTAATCAGAACACACAACAGAGAGTACAGCTTCAAAGAACGCCAAAGTGTGTCTGTGTTTATTTACATTGGTAAGAAAATCTGCTGATTTTTAGCTGGGGGGGGGGAATTAATGATTAGTATTAAATTATGAAGATACCCATTTCCCTATGCTCTATTTTTACCAGATCAGTACAGCGAATATCAATAAAATAGTAATGTTAATAGGAATGCATTTTTTCCCAAAGTTAGTGGAGATAAATATAGCCTTATGTTCACAATTCACCCAACCTTGATTGTGAATAAAATACTTCGTGTGTTTCACAGTAATTTCTCTTTAAAATTATTATTTCCATTGAGGAAAAAGGGAACTAGAATAACTTGTTCTTGTTTACAAACCTTCCTAATCTTTCTATGCGCTGACTTCATTTGAAGCTCGTTAACCCAAAAGAATCCTAGCTCACTGCTCAGATTTTTGAGTGAAGTTAATTACAAATCCAGAGGAACTATTTGTGGTTTTGTTGTTTTGTTGTTTTTTATTTATTCATTTATTTCTAGAGGTATTGCATGTTGTTTGAGGGTGCGGAACGGACAGGATTTATTTCGTTTAGCTTCAATTCACATTTCTTCTTTCCTTTTTTTACTGGTTCAGAGGAATCCAGGCATTTAACTTTGGATAAGATTGATACTGTATATTAAGGACTTTAGACCACTGCAATGTATAACACACGTTCAATGCAAAATTTTTCAAAGACCTATTGGGAAGTGAGTGCTTAATGTGTTAATGCCCTCAGATATTTGGGACATTTCTGTCTTGTTTTTCCACTCTTGTGAACATAATTACAAGAACTTCAAACTATATTTCCAAGGCTAAAACTTTGTTGCAAGTATCATATTTTGGCATTAGAAACTGAAATCCATTACTGACTCAAATAAATATTTAAAGGTTAAGCATGGCTAGGAATTTCAAATCATGATTAGATTAAGCCTGTTACACTTCTGGCACACCGCTGAATGACACAGTCCTATTTAGTAGTTTGTATTGAAACAACAGAATGGCTTGACCTTTCAATAGGTAAGATATCGACCTGCCACGGGGCTCCACACAAGCCTTGTGACCTGCCTAAGTTCTATTTAAGTCTTCGACTGAGATTTCTGTCCCTGTCCCATGAGATACATTTCATTCTTACTGAATATATAGAAAGTTTCCCTTTAGACATCTAGAATTGAAGGACATAACAAAAGAAAACTTTCTTTACAAAGATCAGAGTTCCTAACATTACCCTCTTTGCTCGTTTCATTTCTTTAGAACAGGATGCTATTTCTTCTGTGGGTATAAGTGAGATAGCAATTAAAGTAAATGGTATTTGTTTCTCATCCTCTCTGCCTTAATATTTTTAAAACTAACTAAACATTGTATGAAGTTTTTAGACCACTTTTTAAAGGATAATCTCCAGTTTTATTGTGCTCTTATGCCTTGTCAGCCTGCAAAGCTGGAGGAAAATGACACTGCTTTCCTCCTCTTAAAAACAGTTATATTCTCTGACAGCAACATCTATACACTGCTTTATGCAATCTTGTGGTAAGAGTATGTATGTGTCTTTTCCTCAGGTTGAAACAAAATGCTCATTCATATGTTTGTAAAGGCACTATATAAATATGAAATACTGATCTAAAAAAAAAAAGTCATTGTTCAGAAATCCAAGTTAAGAAAAGAAAAGGCACTGAAGATCTGTTTCTCTTCAATCTTTCCTAGTAGATAATTTCCATTCTTTACATCAATCATAGAATCATTTAGGTTGGAAAAGACCTTCAACATCATCGAGTCCAACCATCATCCATGCCCACTAAACCATGTTCTGGAGTGCCTTGTCTATGTGCTTTTCGAATACCTCCAGGGATGGTGACTCAACCACTTCCCTGGGCAGTCTATTCCAATGTCTGACAACCCTCTCAGTAAAGAAATTTTTCCTAATATCCAACCTTAACATCCCTTGCTGCAACTTGAGGCCATTTCCTCTCGTCCTATCTCCAGCCACCTGACAGAAGATACCAGCACCCACCTCACTACAACCCCCCTTCAGGTAGTTGTAGAGAGCGATAAGGTCTCCCCTGAGCCTCCTCTTCTCCAGACTAAACAGCCCCAGCTCCTTCAGCTGCTCCTCATAAGACTTGTGCTCCAGGCCCCTCACCAACTTGGCTGCCCTTCTCTGAACATGCTCCAGCACCTCCATGTCTTTCCTGTAGTGAGGGGCCCAAAACTGAACACAGCACTCAAGGTGCGGCCTCACCAGTGCCGAGTACAGGGGAAGAACCACCTCCCTTCTCCTGCTGGCCACACTATTTCTGACACAGGCCAGGATGCCGTTGGCCTTCTTGGCCACCTGGGCACCCTGCTGGCTCATATTCAGCTGGCTGTCAACCAGCACCCCCAGGTCTTTCTCTGTTGGGCAGCTTTCCAGCCACTCTTCCCCAAGCCTGTAGCACTGCATGGAGTTGCTGTGACTGAAGTGCAGGACCCGGCACTTGGCCTTGTTGAACTTCATACAGTTGGCCTCGGCCCATCGATATAGCCTGTCCAGATCTCTCTGTAGACCCTTCCTACCCTCAAGCAGATCAACCCTGCCTCCTAATCTGTTGTTGCCTGTAAACTTGCTGAGGGTGCACTCAATCCCCTTGTCCGGATCATTGATAAAGCTATTAAACAGAACCGGCCCCAACAGCGAGCCCTGGGGAACACCAGATCAAGATGGGGCATCAAACTCTCCTTCAACAGTTTAGGGCAAAGCAGGGGTTTGATACCCTCTAAAGTCTCCTCCTGAGAAAGGAGAGCCACAGACATTTTGCAGGGAATTTCCTTCTTTCCTTCTCCTCCCATTATTCCACTGTGAAGCAGTGAGGATTTCCCTTTCCATAGTGCTTTCTTTCTCATCAATACATACAACCAACTGTGGACTGCTCCTTCTCATTATTTCTTGTATTCCTTTTCCATTCTGACCAACTCCATTGCTTTCTATGCTGACTGACTGGTACTGTGGACAAGGGGAGGGCAATGGATATGGTATACTTTGACTTTAGCCAGGCTTTTGACACCCTCACTTGCAGTTTATCACTGAATTGGTGGAAGTTTGCAGACAACACCAAACTGAGTCAATATGCTGTACCTGAGGGCTGCTCTTCAGAGGAACTTGGACAGGGCAGAGAAATAGAGTGACAGACAGATCATGAAGTTCAATAAAAGGAAATGCAAAGTCCTGCATCTAGGATGAAATAACCCAATGCAACAGTACAATCTGGGGACTGACTGTACGGCAAGCAGCTCTGCAGAAAAGGACCTGGAAAACTGGCTTGACAACAAGTTGATCATGAGTGAGCAGTGTGCTCTTGCAGTAGAGAAGGCCAACTACATCCTGGGCTGTATTAGGAAGAGTGTAGCCAACAAGCCCAGGGAAGTGATCCTTCCCCTCTGTTCAGCACTTGTGAAAATCTATCAGTAGTGTTGTGTCCAGTTTTGGGCTCTCCAGTAGAAGAAGGATATTAATATACAGGAAAGAGTCAAAAAGATGACTATAAGATGGTCAAGGACTGTTGCACTGGATGTATGTATGGGAAGACACTGAGGGAACTGAATCAGTTCAGCCTGGAGAATAAAAGGCTCGGGGTAGACTTTATTGCTGCCTACAAATACGTGACCAGAGAATACAGTGAAGACGGAGTCAGACTCTTCCCAGAGGTGCACAGCAACAGGCTAAGAAGCAAGGAACACAATTTGGTACAGGGAAAGGATTTTTCGTGTAGCACAAGGGTGTTCAAATACTGAAAGAGGTTTCCCAGACAGGCTGTGGAATCTCCATCTTTGGAGGTGGTCAGGACTTGATCGAGCATGGCATTGAGTAACCTGATCTGCTTAAACCTGCTTTAAGAAGGAGATTGGAGTAAATGACCTCCAAACATCCCTTCCAAACTAAATTATTCTATGACACTGTACTTGGTTCACCTATTCCTATCAGGAAAGAACTCCATAAATACGATGGAGATGATATGCTTTGAAACCTGTAGAAAAGCCTGCAAGAACAGAGTTGTAGTGTTTCCCTGGCCACACCACTGAGAAATGAAAAAAACCTGTAGAAGCATTATTTTCATGTTGCAGCACTTTTTGTGCTAAGAAAGTCTAGGTTTAAGATCAAAGCCAAACCAAATATGTGACTGCATTCCTATTAAACTTTCAAATTCCAAATCCCACTGAATAATCAGGCAAACACTTGAGATTTTTCCTTTTTTTTTTTTTTTTTTTTTTTAGGAGGGATGTTGCTAAATTAACCCACCTGTTCTTCCACAAACATACAACCCATTTCCATATAGGTACCTATGGTTTGTGTTTATTTGCATGCTTCTGGCTTTCTTAAGGGACTATTTTCAAGAAAAATGTGGGTGCGCAAGTGTGTGCAAGTGTTGGAAGCCAGACAAGCTTTTACTGCAGTCATAGATCTTTAGAAACATGTTTTCATAAGCAAATATTGCAAGAAGGCTATTGGGTTTACCAAATACACATCAGAACAGCGAGTGCATTCCGGGAATTAACATACTGTAGTACAGAAGGAAAGAAGGGAACTAACTGCTTCAGTGATACCCACAGCAGCAGGCTATAACAACAATAGCAGTATCAGCAGCAAAAAAATGCCTTTTTTTTTTTGTCTCCACTGTTTATAAATGAGATCGAGCATATGGATACGTAATTAAGGTTATTTCATTAGATCAGACTAGAGCTCTCCAAACAATCATAAAAAGGGGTTTCCATGCATAATGGTTTACATAGGCTTCTTAAAACACCCGTTAATACATTAAAAAGCACAGATTCATCTTGAAAGAATAGTCTCACACCTGCAGATTTTGCAGGCTTTTTTTTATGATCAGAATTACTTTCATAATTTAATGCACAGCTGCATTATTTAATGTATACTCCTGTTCTGCCTTATTCTCTTCTGTTCTTACCTCAATTTCTGAACAATCTGCTATTTACGACCTTCTAGCTGTTGATCTAATTGGGGTCATTCCGTCCCAGTCAAGGTGCTCCAAGCCAATTTCCTTTTCACATATGCAAAACACCCTGTCCAATTTTCCCTTTCCTACCCAGCTTCCAGGTCACATCCTGTTTCCTAAGCAGACCCTTCTAAACCTTCCTCCTAATCTTTTCAGCCAATCTCCCAGGTCCCCAGTTCAACCAGTTCCAACTTTCCCCCTCTCAATTTACAGTCATTATCTTTCTGAAAAGTAACTTTTCTTCTCCCCACTTTTTGTCATTTTTCAGCTCTAGTTTCTTTTCACAGATATCTCAGCAGATTCTGAAGCCTAGACACTTCAAGACTAAGGTGGCAAATGAATTAAAAAAAAGTTTTATTGATTTCTGTGTGTAAAGACCACTTTGACTCTCATGTAGGTACCTAACTTTTATTACATGTAGCCTTAAATTTCTAAATACTAAAAACTTAACCATATGTCACGAGAGACAATCATGTTTCAGAATCAAAATTCCACACTGGGTGAAAAAGGACATCCTTCTTAAGACATTACTTCCCATGAAATTATGACTGCAGAGCATGCAGCAAGCTTGCTTTCTAAAATGATTTCTTTCAGATTATAGGAAGCTTTTCAACAGCTTATATCTTGCTACTGAAATCTGGAGAGGAATATTAATCATCGAAGAATATGAGAAACGATGTGTGGAATTATTTTCTTTCTTTAATCTCAACATACTCAATGTCATCCAGGAAAAGTTGTATGTTCTATGTTCCATATATTGTATGTTCCAGGTACACAGTGACAGAATTTCTAAAGGAGATAATATACATGCAATATGGTAAGTGCAATAGTTATAAAGGGAACTCAGAAATGTGAATTTTATTTAAAGTACCCATATTTCTAAAATGTGGACATTCTGCAATCATACAAAATTAATTAATCATATGGATTAACCGAAAAGACTGAATTAGCAAGGAGATAGACAGCATTAATACCACAAGATACTGTTATAGTAGAAAATATAGTTGAGAGGAAGACAAAAGGCACAAAATGTTAATTTGGTTTTAACTGAAGTTAATTGTTAAAATATAGATAAAACTATTTACACATATAAAATATTCCCTAAAACTCTGGCAAATTATAGAGGAGTATTAAGTTATTAAATCAATCTTTACATCAATTTGTCCTTAAGACCGCTGTTACTTTTTATTCTGACAGCTTGCCATTTGGCTCACTGCTGGAACTAGGTGAAAAATGTACTGATAAAAGTTTGAAATGCTGTACAGGCTTCTGTTCAAATTTGGGGTTGTAATTTCATTAGGAGTCCTATGAAGATTTGTGCTTTGAAGGGCCATGTTGCAGTTGATGTTTTTAAACATACTCATTCTCCTGGAGCATCTAGATTTCTGTTCCAACAAAACAGACATTTTTAGCTATTGAAGTCTAATTTGAAATGTTAGTTTATAGGAAAGGTATTTCACTCTCAGATGTCTGACTATATAAAGATACCAAAGAGATGAATCCTTCTATATTTGAAGGAAGAAATTATATTATTTTTTCCAAAGTTAACATAATTGTGAAATGAATGCTGGTTCCACCGAAGTTTCACTATTGATTGCAGCCTCAATCCACAGCATATAAATAAGAAGTAGAGCCAAACGTTTATATTGTCTTAGAAAAGGTCACCGTTTTAATGTTCATGGCATGTTTTCCAAAAGCTCTTCAAACTTATACTGCACATTATGTGTTTAACCTGCATCTTTCAGTATCTAAATATACGTACGATTTTTGGCCTAAAACTTGCTGTTGGTGTTTTCTGTGCTTCAACTTCTGGGTCACGAGACCTATTAAGTCAATTATTCAGCACTACCCCCACATATCTTCCTCTTCCTTGTTTTATAGCACTGTATACTACACAGACTCTGGCTTGCCTGGTGGAAGAGCTCTGAGCCTGGCTGCTTCTACACTTCAGCTATGAAGGACTATTTCCACATAGGGCAATATGTAGGGCAACAGAACATCATCTCAGTGGCGTTGTTTACTCACCCTTAATTTAGGATGTGATTGTTGGGGACTAACTGCTTAGATTACATAGGGATAATGAAAGATGATTAAGAACTAACTATTTATTATGAAGTGTGCTGTCAGTGAATGTCAGTCCAGCAGAGTTTCATCTTAAACTCTAACACTGGCATGATATATCAGTTTTCTAAACACTCCCATCGTGGCCATGTCTAATTCCTCAACAAATATACAGATAGGCCTATAAACAGTCAGTCACAGTAATTGTGTAGGATGCCACTGGAATGCTGGAAAAAAATGTATGGAGAAACAGAGGGAGAATACACTTTAGTTTCAGTATCGAGGTGGTGATCACCTCATGCAGAATAGAAGGACTTCTGTAGCAGGACTGGAGGAGGCTACAGCTCAGAACCCATCACCATCTTCCAGGCACCCAACTCCCAGTCGAGGTGGGGTCTAAATTTTCTGACTGAGGCTGGAGTTAGCAGTTTTCCCAGGCTTCTTACTTCAGAGACAGGGACCTGATTGTCAATTACCCCAAACCCAAGAAGCCTCAAAGCTCTGGAATCTCTCTGAGCTCCAGTAACCAAGTGCACAAGAAGGAAATAAAATAGAAATTTAGCAATCTCTTTCTCAGTTCAGAAATTTGAACGAAACCCCTTCCATGAAACTATTTTTACTTGAATACCTGGCATTTTTAATCAAACATTGTTTCATCACAAATTCAAACAGTTCTAATAACGTTTCTTCCTTTACTGTTTCTTTCAAAATACAGTGAACACTATAAAGTGAAAATCAGTAGTAATTCCATTTAGCTTAATAGACTTTCACCATATTAATAAACATAAACAAGAAAGTGGAGTTTGTCTACTAATTTCACTTCTGAAAAGTCTAAGGTATGTACAACGCGCCTAACCTTACACATTTATGACCAACTTTATTGATTTCTTCAGATGATTTGCAGTAACTTTGGAGTGGCAGAAAATGGGCTTTGTTGTAATGTTACTTTCTAACATGATTCAGTTATATCTTTGCTCTAAAAAAACCCATCACCTACTATAAAACAAACATGAATTTTAACATTAAGTTTCACATTTCCTCATGCTGTAGAGAAATGAACAAGTGGTTCTAATGTCCTCCTTTCTGCTCTGGACAATCATAACAGAGCAGGGCAGGGTTAGACCTGGCAGTTCATCGGTAAAGAAAATGATATTACCTAATTTTTCAGAGGATTGTTAATACACTGAGTGGTATCCATGTTATCAACTTGGAGCATTTAATTTTGGATGCATTTACATGATACATTTTTCACAGTGGCAAAACTGCCTGAGGAAATTTGTACTTTTTCTGCATGTATTAGATTCACACATAGTTTACTAGTTGTGCCAACACACTCGTGCATATGGTTGATTATGTGAACTAGGTCACTGAAGTGATTTATGTAGAAAAAAATTATTTTAGATCAATTTCTACTTTTCAGTCACTCCAGTAATTGGGGTTATTACATGGTTTCACAAACAGTTGTCACTGTACAACTACATCGGAGGAAAGACAAAATGCAATTCATAAGCAGAACAGGATCTGAAGTATTTTAAGCTGTCCCTGTTGAAAAAAATGTGTAAATGTTCCTCCTCAGCATACTTTAGATGACTGGGAAGAAAACTCTTATGTAATTATGGGAAAGGAACAGGGAAACAGAGAGCCAAAAATACTTTCCTGAAAAAGAGGCAATACCAATAAGAATCAAATGCTTATTTCAAGATTATTTATGACTTCACAAAGTATGGTATAAAATGAAAATGAATACTACAGGAGAGAAGTGCAAGAACTTCCAAGAAAATTTTCTGGGTATTTTACCATTCCAGCTACATATGGTACTTTTTGTTATTGCCTTTGAAAGGATGAGATGTTGAACTTCATAATTCGTATAGTTTGGGAGATCAGCTGATTAGAAGATTTTGTTCAATTAAAGTATTCTGATTTTGTGAAATCACCAACTTTGACTAATTTCTTCTCATAAAAAACCCAAACCAAACCTGAAACATTCACAAATAAAAAAGAAACAATTTTGAAATGTATTTGAAGTCAAACTTAAGCAAGATTGAAGCTAGAAGAAAAAGCTCAAAGTCTCCTTTAAATTTCCTTCAAAATACATAAATAAAGTAATTTTTGGCTTTGTGTCACTTTTAGAGTTTTAAAAAAAATCATGACTTCTCAATTTTTCTGGAGACAGAAATGTCAACTTTGACCCAACTTAATTCTGAAGGAAACAAAATATATAGTTTTATACCATATTTTGACAGGATTGTATTTTTTCTTCTTTGTATCAGTTATTATAAGTACAAATTAAAAAGAATATCTCAGAAACTATTCCTTATAGAGTTGAGTACACAGTCTGCACAATTGAGTAAGTGCAGATTCCCACCGTTTTAAATTAATTCCAAGAAATTTGCAGGGAAATACAGATATGCATGGGGCCTTGATCATCCCAAACTAGTGAGAACACCTATAAGACTCTATAGTTTTTCCCATTTCAAAACTAGTAAAATGTTTTGTTTCATCCCCACAGTGGTGTAAAGCAAATGTTAATGAAAAACTTTTGTCACAGGAAAAAAAGCTGGCTTTGGTCTGGCTTATTCAAAGTAATCAGGTACTGAAATTAATCAAGCTGATGGTAGACGTATACTGTTTTACCATCTCAAGGAATTATATTAACACATTTTCTTTTTTTTTTTTGCCTGAAAAAAAGTCAAAACATGTTCAGAAAAAATGGGTTCTCACCAAACATCATAATTAATACAACTAATATACTTTTTGTTATTGTTTTACTGGTTTAGTCTTTTCTAACTATAGCACGTTATAATCACTAAAGAAAGTACGAATATCAAAAGGCTGTTCTCTTAATCAGCTGCTGAATTAATGAAGGCAAAACTTGTGGTTGCCACTAAAAAAGAGAAGATATTTGGAGTCAAGTGAAATCTTGATTTTTCCAGTTCCTTCTCTCTGTACTATTTTCATTCTGTCATTTCCAAATGGACTGCTAGTCTGGAAAATATGATAATTCATTTCACCACCCAAGATTACATATATACTGCATAGATTCTGGACAATGTGAATATTTTACTTTTTTCATTAGTGACTGTTTCCTTTTCCTAGGTAAGGTATTCCGTCTAGAGAGATTCTTCATGTCAGCACCAGATGACATGTCAGTCTCAGAAGAATTAGTCGGAGAACATCTCTGTCTCCGAGGTTGCAGACATTTAATCATTTCTTCACTATTCTGGGCAGCTGCACACTGACCTCATAGCCATCACCCGCTTCGGGGCTGTCAGCCACAGTACTTTGTAATATAAGGGCTACTTTGCATGCTGCTTTACCAAGAAGAAATGCCACTAACTGTGACAACAATCCTAATTAGTTGTTGAAATACCATTGTGAAGATCTGTCACCAGAGATTACTCATCTTTTTAATGGTTCCTTCAAACAGAAGCTCTGTTTCAGCTATTTAGAAAATGGCCAATATCATTATCATTCCCTGAGGGGCTTATCTAAGCACTCTGAAGGATTACTATCCAATTTTACTTTTAAGCAAGGTTGCAAAAGTCATGAAATAGACAGGGGGAAAATAAAACATCTTTACAGCAAGAATTTCAGCCGCAGGAGGTTGGGAGCAGTTACATACCTCTAGGCAAACTATAACACAGCAATTATAAGGAAAGCATCCTCTGAAGGATAGAGAGGGAACAAGATTTTAGGAGAATGAGACCAGTAGGGGATAAAAAGTAAGAAAAGGATTAGATTCAGGACTAGAAACAACGCATTTGATTTCCAAAACTCCCTATTAGTATCACAAGCTAAAATTATACAAAGCAGATGTGGCCTGACTCAGTGTAGGCCAGTAGGATAACTGCCTGCTGCAACAGACAAACCATAGACAGCTGCTTGAGTTAATAAATAATTGCTAACAAATGTAACATTAACAATTTAGTTAAGATTAGAATATATTACGATTAGTTATACAACATATTTTTGTTTGCATCTATTGCCACCTTTCAATGCCCCAAAAACCTGCTCCAAACTGCTTAGAGAAACGAATACTTAACCCCAGTCAAACAGCTATTCCAGACCTCCTAAACCTACCCCAACAACTTAATGCTTAGAGGATGAACAAGGTACTAATTTATCATCCACCCTCAAGACAGAGGAAGAAAGATCATTTAAATGACAAAAAAAAAAAAAAGCCTGAAGTTTGTTATAGAAATGTCTGTATCTCTGATAAACACATTAGCATGGGTTTATGTATTGCAGTTGATACTAACAGTGATGAGTAGCAACTGTCTTAGAGAATGTCACATTAACAAATACATATTAATAAATAAACAAAATCCTGACCAAATTATGGTTAACCTGTCCATAGAACACTGTTATCTTAACTATAATAATACAGCTATTGACTTAAGACAATGGTTCCTATACTTTCTAGTTCCTTAAACCTGAAGCTTTATGCAGTATACAATGAACACACTGATCTTGAAAACTTTGGATTCTTTTACTCAATTCTTTTTAATGAAATTATTTACTACTATAAAATATTTTGTTATTAGGAATAGAACTTTTATGAAGAGGAACACACAAAACTTTGCTGGAGGCTGACAGTATGTGAAGCCAAGCATATATGCCAGCATTAGCAGGATCAGAGCTATTCCACTGAAAATAATAGTTATATTTAAGAAAATTCAAATATTTACAAATTTAAAAGTGAAAGATAATAGTAATTATCTGATAATAATAGTTTTACTAGTTTTTCAAATGGTATTTAATTACTTGGAATTATTTCAATTTCTTTGAATTATAATAAACTAGTGTAAATTAGCTTCCATGATGAATACTGTTAAATTTTGACAAAGTTAGTTTCCTTTATTTATTATTTGTAGGAGTATTATTTGTAGTTTTATATTTCTGTTATTCTGAAATTGTCTTATCAACTATACAGATTGGGTGCATGAATAGGTAATTTTCTGCTAAACTGTGACTAAAATTACCTCAGAATTAGGCAAATAAATGCATGCTCCAGTAAAATTCATCTTGGAAAAAATAAATCCGGGAAAAAAGAAAAGATAGCGGTCAACAGGAAAAAAAAAAAAAAAGCTTTGTTTATATAAAGGTTTAATTTCCACAAGTGATACATACATACTCTCCATTAGCATCCTTGAGAGTTATACAGCAAAATGGGAAAATTGGATCCTAAAGTTATGTAATTCTATGCAAGCGCTGGTCCTATTCTCCACTCCTCACGATTCTTCTTTGCAATTCCCAAATCCTTACCCTCTGTTTCCAGCTTTTGCCTTTACCTGTGTGATCTCCCACCTAGTTTTCACTTTGTCCCTCTCTCTCATTCTCTCTCCTAGTCAATACTACCTGCCTGAGGTAACCTTCCTGACCTCTCCACGTCAGCTTTCCTCGCCTCCTCACCTCCATGGTGGTTCTCAATCCTTTTCCCTAACTTGTCTTTGTCTCTTGCCTACACAACTTCCAGCTTCCCTGTCTCAAAGACTTGCTCTTCTGGTCTCCATCCTCAAACACTGTTCCTCAAGTTACCTCTTCAGCCACTCTCCAGTTCTTACTCCTTCTAGAATCTCAACCGCAGCTTTCTAACCATCACAGCATATAGGTACGAGCAAAGAGGTCATAGAAGACACAAGGTTTCTTATGTGACGTAAGTCTGGCTTGTAGCACACATGCATTGGAGTTGCAGGGCGAGTCGCTCCTGCCTTGCTGCCAGGATTCATTCCTGCAGTAGCGAATATGCAATGCTACCCCAGATCTGCAGTTCAATAAACCCTCTCTAAGCAACACCTATAAACTGAGAGTTTGACCAGATCTGGAAAAGCACAGCTCTGACAAAGATTGTACCCTTTAAGGATTTCAGGCCCTCCCTCAAAGCAGGAAAATTGCACAGCTTTGCAAACAACTCACCCGCATTTAAAGTAGAAAAAGACTAAATAATGTATTTTCCGGATAGTCCCATTTTTAGAAGGATCTGCACTATTCTGGTTGAAATGTTTTGCCTGAATTTTCTGCAACTGTTAAGGAATATTTGAACATATCCTAAAGGACTATCTGAGGAACAGTTGGAAAACCTAGAAAGGGGCTGAGTCCTATTCCCATGTCATTGCTTAACTTCTTTTCTGAAGCTGACATATAGGAATATGTCATTGTAATAGGAATCTAAATCATTGTGATAGCTGATCATGAAATAAACAGACAAACAAACCCAGTAAAATAAACTTGCACGTTAATTCTAGCTGCTTTCCTGCATTCATTTAAAGAGCTAGGAGATTTAAAGACAATCTATCCAGCCACCGATATCTGATACTAGCAAAGCTCGCCAGTTCCAGGCATGCAGGAAGAAAAATAGTTATTGACATAGCAGAAGGTACCAGCTGAGGAACTGCTGAGGACTGTTATCATGTAAGCCTACTGTCAAAAGAGATTGAAGTGTTATTTTCCAACTGCCTCGTATATCACTGGTATCAACCCCTGCAAATTTATTATGTCTGGTAGTAGTTCACATTATGTGAAAACATCCATTCCTGCAACAGTACCTTTACATGACAAGGATGGAAATACTTTTGGACCAACATTCCAATATTATTAGTTTGAAGACAGTGATTTGTTCACTTTTTTTTTACAGCAACATTATGCTTTAATAATATTGTTAAGACTGACTCAGGGTTCCCCAATATAATGACCTAGCAGCATAACACCTGCTAGAGAATATTCAGTAAATTCCAATGGATAGCAAGTCCTAAGGGATTGCTAGGATCGAGTTTGCTGAGAACATATTTTTCCGCACAGTGCTCTAACCCAAATAACACAACATCATTTCAGGTCAATCAAATGCAAAGAAAAACATGAAGAAAAGAAAACAACCCAAACCCCCATATTCTGTTTCACAAGACTCAAGCCATAGAGCTTGACCTGAAGTGAAATAATGCCACTTTATTTTGTATTATTGAAACTGAAAAAACAAACTCCCCTTACTATTTAAAAAGGAAAATAAGAAACATCATATTTCAGAATTCTTGCTACCTATAACCTTCTTCTTTTTCATTGGCTGATATCTGTCACATTTGACCTGTATTTGTTTGTGATTTTCATGCCCCCAAATCCATGCCTTTACATAGACGAAACAGAATATTTTGGCTAAGGGGCTTAAATATCTCTTTCTATAGTCTTTTCTCCTTCTCCGTGAATTTCAGACAGTTCATGTAGCTCTCTTCTGTGGAACATTATACAGTATTAATTTAATCATTATAAAATACTCCTCTTTTTAAGGAAAACAGTCCAATATAAATTTTTTATTTATATATGTTCTGTGGATAATTTCTTGTGAAACACCCTCAAAGGTATGGTGAAGGGAAATAAAACTTGACTTTTGAAAAGGAGAGGTGAAGGATAAGGTAATATAAAATAAAAAGAAACATCTACTCTTACCCAGAGATCTCAATACATAAGTAAAACCAGGAGAGATTTCTGCAGGGTTGTGATAACATATAGGAGGTTCTGATCAGATTGGCATGGAGTGAAGTATCTAAGGATCACATCAGAGACTTAACACTAAATGAGAACAGGCAGGTAGCAGGTTCTTTTTTAAATAGCTGCTTGCCTCTCATTTCAAGATACCCAAATCACACAATTTGTAAATCCAGTTGTCAGGGTAAGAAAATGTTGATACTTCTGAAGCAGAAGTCACTTAGCCATCTGGCAGGCAGGAATGAATGCTGCAGAATAAAGCTTCTCCGTTTCATTTCAGTAACATGTTATATAAAACAAGTGAGCAGGGACACCTTGGCATATAAAGCAAAGAGTATAAAAAAAAAAAAGTCATATAATTTAGCAAGCATATGAGGAACAGCTCACCCAATGACAGCTACAACAAAAGAATAATCCTGTAATGGTTCTTTGACAGTTTATTTTCAGTGCATATGCTTAGGCAGTACATACTGTTTATTTTCTAAGCAGCTTAGCAGATGGGAGGTAAGTAGGATGATGATTATAATTCAATATAAAATACTTTTAAATAAAGTTGGGGGTCTGACTTAAGCCCTTAAAAGTCAAAATATATAAGTTAAGTCTCCAGCAACATCCTTAGCTCAGCTGCTATTCTTATTTTCTAAATGTGGAACAGTCTCTTATCACAGGCTGCCACACCACTGGACAATGTAGAATTGGTATGAGGGAAGAATTAGTTCCAGCAGCTCCTGAAGAACAAGATTCCACACCACAGGCAATTTGACACAACTTCTAACAGGCTGTTTTCCACATATTTTTTTGCAGTTGAAACAAGGGTTTATACTTTCATTTGTTTTTCTAGTATCTATTCTTTTATACCTACCTGATCCAACTTACTAAAATGGCTCAGCAGATTGGTATCCCAGTAAAATACTATTATCTCTAATTCAGACAGGTGAGAAACAGAAGGATTAGGTAGTTTGCTCAAATTTATCCCCAAAAGTCAGTGCTACAATACAGCATTTTACTAGACTCTCCTGATTTCCAGGTAAACTCTTCCAATCACTTTAAGCTTTCTGATGTTATCAAAAAATATTGTTTCAGGGAATAGATATAGGAACATGCCACTAGAGAATTTGAGGGAAAGGTGGAAAGAAACTTAATTTTGAAGATGAAATTGTATTCCAGTTTATTATTCCTTTTCCATTAAATTACAAGCTAACAAGGCATGAAACCACAAAGGCAAGTGCAGCATCATATCGCAGTTACAGAAGCTGGAAGGTCGTCCTCAGAGACTTTGATGAATTATGATACTGGATTGAGTATCTGCCCCTGCAAATATTAATTTAGGGATGAAATGTCTCAGTCAGACATTCAAGCCTTACACCTGAAGACTGCTGGTTATTACCCACTGCCACAATAGGAAAAAGGGAGGCAAACCACAATTAATGCAGATCATGAAATTTTTTTTAATAGATTTTAGCTGTTTAGTTAATTTAGGGGCCAGAATACCTCTAGGTACAGACCTCCGAGAAGGATGGGGGAAGGCTTAAAAGTGGGATACAGAATATAGGAAGGGGGGAAGACTGGATTTTCTCAGGTATATGTACAGCCTGTAGAATAAACGAGTATTTCCAGGAACCTGGAGTACAAATAATAGTGCTTAAAAAAAAAAAAAAAAAATCAATATCACATCCTCTGCCTGTCCATAGGATGAACATTCATGGAACATTCATTTAGGTAACTTAATGGGAGATTTGATAAATGCATGGAAGAATAATCCATCTTAAACACAAGAAACTATCTCAGGCTCAGGAAGCATTGGAGCTGCGTGTTCTTAGTACTGAGAATGCACACTGATAAAATCTGTGTGCTTGTTTTGCTCTTACCCTGTGGCCTTCCTTCTGAATCTACTGCTAGGCAGGATACTGGTCTTCATATGCATTTGATTTCTAATACATTGCTTTTCACAATAACCAAAGGCATTAGAATAAACTTAGAAAAAACACAAAGAGAAATAATGAATTTACTACTGTGATCAATATTCTCATACTTCTTCCAAAGACCCCAAGTTTAAGAAGCCTATGTGGTTTGGAGGGGTTTTTGTTGTTTGTTTGTGGTTGTTTTTTTTAAGAGCACATGAATTATTTTCTTTAATAGCTTCCATTTCTGTCTCCCTGCCACTTTCTTGTGGCAATACCTTGACTTATAAAGAACTGATATGTTATAAGCTCAAGAGTCAGGTTACCATGTCACATCATCTATATGACATCAGTATATGAGACTGAGATATGAACTGTTAATAAGAGACGCAAAATGTTATTCAGCATGAATAAATTCTCTATAAAGGAAGATTAGAAAATACAGTACCAGATGTACCTCACTAGTACCTTACTGTTCTTGCAAGATCCGCTCATATCAATAGACCTGCTACAGAGTGTATTGCTCAAACAATATAAAGGATAGCATCAAAATAACTTCTTAAGCCCAACCAATGTTCTTCCCAATTTGAACAATATGTTTGATCTGGTAAACTTGAAGTAAAAATAAATTACATACAATTCTTCCCCTTTCCAGTATTGCATTAGAAATTTCTTTAAAGGCTTGTAAGTTCAATTCCAGCAGCTGAATTTTATTAAACCCAAATTGCTTTCCCCTGTTACAGTATTGTTGACCTAAGTGCAGACAGATTTTTATTTATTTATTTATTTATTTATTATTTGTTTTCCCAAGTTCTAGGATTGCATGGACTTACTGTTGCAAGTGGGCATGGCAGCAATCTAACTGATGGAGTTCTGCCCTCTCTGCTGGAGGCTATTTAATTTGTAAAATAACAAGCATTTTATTTTACCTTTCATATCCCTGAACTCAAGGGATTTTCAACAGTCTAATTTCTGCAACAGATAACATGAGGAACTCTTCTGTGAAAAGGTAAGAAGTTTCTGCTGGGAGACTCCATCAGACCTCACTGCTGCATGGTCTGGATACTTGAGATTTTTGCAGATTCTCGATATCTAGCTGAATTTCACCTTTAAAATTAATTATTACATCTCAATATTTTTACAATCCTCTCATTCACAAGAGCATTTGCTTGTGGAATAGCAGGTCTTCCACCATACCCTCAAGATTATAATTAACTGTCCTGAGCATGGTAGAATACAAATGCTCAGGGTGGTACTTTCACTAATGAATTTATTTTCAGAAGCGTGTCTTTCCATCAGGTACATAGGTTGAGATGCACATATACTTCCTAAAGAGGGAACACTGAATGCCATAACAAAACATCAGATAGCATAATAACCTCTTTTTTATGCAGCTATGTTGGAGGCTTTTTCTCTGTAATGTGCGATACTAACGAAAGAGTATAATCAACAGCAGTTACCAACTTCCTAACCAAGAGCAGTTACTGACTTCCATGGATGTTTTGCTATATTGAAACAGTCACTGGGAGTCATGCTGAGAAGTAAAAAGGTCAAATAAAGAGAAGGGGGCCGGGAGAGCCGTAACAACATAGCCACTGATTTTGGTTTATTGATAAAAGAATCCGTTACTGAAGGAGTCATCTCAGGTCATTAGGCAACAAGTGAGATAATTTTAACACTAATGAGACAGGAAACTTTTTTGTATCTTGACTCTGAAAAGAAAAACTCCAATCCTTATTACTTAATGTTCTAACAGAAACATGTACCCAGACTAATAAACCCTTCTACTCTGATTTTACTACTTTGGGCTCAGCATCAAAACTTTCACGTATGGCTGGATTGTATTCAGTAAGTAAGTAAGTGACTCATAATGCATACCTAGTGGATGCACAGCTACCTGCTTCTGTCTAACACATACCCTGTTAATTGACAGGTCAATGCATTGGTTTTTCTTTGTGATAAAATTCAATTTTACAATACCTGTATCATCTTACTGTTATCCTAATAAAGGCTAAAAAGATCAAATTGAATACAATCAATTAATGAATTGATGAAAACACAAATCAATCAACAGGACAG